ACACAAACTTCAAACGACGGTCTCGAGTCCCGCAAAGCTCTGACTCGATGCGCTGAATTCATTACCTGACCTCCACCTTTATCCAACAGCCCAGATACTCGAGCATCTGTGGGTTGTGATATTTTAGACAAGTAAACAACCTCCTTGTCTCCCGAGATGCCACCGTCCCAACTCGACGGATCCCATCCGTCATCCAACCTTGCAACACAAGCTCCGACTCGCTCCGGCGAAACACCACGCCTCTTCTTTCTAATTTTTTCCCTTTTAAGCCTGCATACTTGCCCGACCGCACCCTCGGCTACTTTAATCAACCACCGCTTATCTTTCTCCTGAACTTCCTCCACACACTTTTTCCATGCAGTCGCACAAACCCACATTCGGCGCTGCAAACCAGACACCGGCGCTTTCTTTCTCTTGAATTTTCCTCGCTTCAACCGGTACACCTGCTCCACCGCCCCCTCAACTACCCTGCTCATTCTCCCAAACTGAGCGAGCGACTGAATGTGCCGTTCATTCAACAAGCAGGCGGTCCTCACATTCTTGCTTGCTCCGTTGAGCCTGTGATTGTATTTTCTGACTTTCCTCATGCCGTTTTTTCCCCAGGCTACCGCACACATCCTCATATGACGTTGAAGCCCTGTCACTGGTGCCATCTTTCTGACCTCTATTGCCTGCAAAGTGGTCAAAACATCACCTGGACTATCTGCTTTCAGAAAAATTGTTCTAACAACTAAGATGGGCTTCTTCCCACCTCTCAAACACAACAAAAACAACTGGGATGGGCTTCTTCCCACCTCTCAAACACAACAAAAACAACTAGGATGGGCTTCTTCCCACCTCTCAAACACAACAAAAACAACTGGGATGGGGCTTCTTCCCATCCCGGTACAACTTTTTCTCTGTTCCCCTCACGCCTCCTCAGGCGTCTGGATCAACTTTTTTTTTCCTGTTTTTAAACTCTCACACAAAGGCTTGGGGCGTCCCCCTCACCTCTTAAACACAAAGCCAAACAAAGTTGGATAACTCCCAACCTGGCACAACCTCTTGTGGACTCTTTGTCCAGATGCACTTGCATCAACTTAACACTTTTTTTTCCTTTCGTTTGAACATGGTGCAGCCGTTCAGAATTATTTATTTATTTTAATAATATCCAATCCTCGTCGCCAAAAATGTATTATGAAATTTCTTATACAAGGTTCGTGAACGGTCGGCCCCGATGATTCACATGAGAGGAAATAAATCAGAGGAGACTGTTACTGCTAGAAATAATAGTGTCATTTATTAATCTGCCACAGAAAAAACAGCCAAGCAAAAAACATGTACACTCATACACTCTTAACACACAAATTGATATGAAAGTCCCTCACCGTGACACGTGGTCGGGAAGCCTTTCGACCCAATGACAGGAAATCACATCAAAACTGAGCTGGGCACCAGCGCGTGTGGTCCGCAGCAGGCTTCAAGACTTCCCTTGCCTGTCACACCTCCTATATACCCCTCCCTGACCGGATTGCGTGAGAGCAGTGAAAAACAAGTTTGATGGTTGTCAGGAGGACAGACAGAAAGTCGGTAT